AATGAAATTTACTGGACATACCCCATTTGCAATACCTTGGGTTGTCTACTATTGCAAATGGTATGCCATTATGGGTGTAAATTTCATTCCTGGGCTACTATAAAGTCCCAAAGGCAACGTAACCAATCTGGCAAATTTCAATTTCAAATGTAACGTGCTATATTTGACCCTGTAACTTCCCAAAACGCCATAAAACCTGTACATAGGGGGTACTGTTTTCACGTGAGACATTGCTGAATACAAATATGTGTATTTTATTGCAGTAAAAGAAAACAGTATTTTGACATTGACCGTTAAAATGTCATGTAGAACTAAAAAAATCAAAAAAGAACTTATTGTCTCCCATTGTTTTCATATTAAATTATGTTTCATAGCTAAATATTTTATATTAAATGAAAGCCCTGTTTCCCCTGAATAAAATGATATATAATAAGGGTGGGTGCATTTAATATGAAAGAGGTGAATTACGGTTGGACAGACATGTAGCGCAAATGCCAGGTTTTGTTTACATTTTGTTTCGTTCACAACGTGTACATTTGGCTCCGTCCTTAAAGGGTTAAATAAATAAATAAATAAATAAATAAATAAAGGGCAGGACCTAATGCCCCCCCAGGTCCCCACCCATAAGCAGCGGGAGGGGACAACAAATAATAAAGTGACTAGGGGACCCCAAGCCCCTAGTCACTTCCCCCGCAATAAAAATACCCTACCTACCCCCCTCACCCTAGTAATAGTGAAGAGGGAAATAAATGAATAACGTGTAAAATAAAATTTCATACTTAAGTCCTGCTATTTTTAAATAGCTTCCCTAATAGTGCAGAGCATAGACACATAAAAGGGTGATATAGTACAATGAATGCTAAAGCAGCTTGCAACAGTGTACACAATTAGCCCTTGAGTATTACCTCTGGAGATTTATTTGCTACTTAGTTACAATTGGGTATTTACTCTGTGTCTTCATGATAGTATAGGCTTTATGCCATTTTCAATGTTTCTACTGATATGATAAACTTTCCCCCTAGTTTTTATATGGTCTCGCACTTCAAATGGAGACTTCTATCATATATTTGTCTGTTATACCCTAGGTTTAAACAACCTACTTCATGTGAGAGGTTCCACTTATTATACGAGTTAAAACTGTAGTGTATCCTACATCTGTATAGGAACCCCCACAAGCCTTTTCCCTCCAATTTTCAAGGTGTACTACACAATTTGTTTGATCACTTCACTGAGGGCTGTACTTTAAACTCCTTGTATGTGTACTTGTTACTGTGTTTGTGTATTGGTTTCTTTTTTTTTGTAATTCTTTATTTAACATTGAAAAATAAACACGTTAATATGAATTATAACATGAATTATTATAGAGTTAATTTTTTACGTCTAGTAGCTCAAGATTAAATTATTCAGCATTGTATATTTTATATTCAAAGTAAAATACCCCCTCCCCCCCTCCAAAACAAAACCAAACCAAAATCCCTCTCTATCTATCTAGATATATCCTTTCTTTTAGTATATGCCTTCCAGGGTTCCCAGACCTTGCTAAAAATATGATAAGAATGTCTAACTCTTGAAGTTAGATCATCCATATTATAATTTTCTTGAATCTTTAGGTCGACCTCTCTCATGGAAGGTGGATCTAATTTTAGCCAACCGGCAGCTATACATCTACGTGCTGCCAGTGAGATTAGAAATATTAGTTTCTGCGAATGACTGGGTAATACCGCTATTGATTTCGATAATAAGAATGTCCAAGGGTTAAGTTCTATGTTCTCCTGCATTTTCGTCGAGACTAGTTTTTTATTTCTTCCCAAAAGCCTTTAATTTTTGGGCATCCCAAATATGTCCCTTGTTGACCACATCCCCGCCAACATAGATCGGTCAGGTTTTTACCAATTTTATACAAGAAGACAGGGGTCACATGCCATCCAAACAATATTTTAAACATCTGTTCTTGAAATATCACACATATCGATATTTTAGATGTTAGCTGTTTCCCAGATGTCTATCCAATCATTTGCTTCTAAAGAGCTTCCTAGATCTTCCTCCCAGTGGGATATATAATTTAGTGGACCCCATACTGCAGGTTCCTCACATAACTGGTTATAAAGATCAGATATAAGACCTCCCTTTATCTTTCCTATTTTGCAAACTTTTTCGAACTCGATAAGGGGAAATTTTTTACTTTTGTCGAGTAAGCAAAGTCTTTAATCTGCAAATAGCGGAAAAAGTCCCCTGTCCTCAGCTCTGTTCTGGCAGTTAATCTGGAAAAAAAGACCACCTCTCCTTCTAGCCACAAATCTGCATATCTTTAAATTCCCCCTGCTTTTAAGTTTGAAAATTATGTTCTTCCACTCCAAGGATAAATTGTCTGTTCCGAAAAACTGGTGTCATAGGAGAAGGGAGGTTAGTTAGTCCATGTTTTAACTTGAGTTTGTCCCATATATATAGTGAGTTTGATATCGATGGGCATATTTGTTTTAGACCAGGTCTTGAGACTTTTTTTTAACCACATATACCTTGCCAGTGAGTCTGGGGCCATCAAGTCTTCCTCCATATCTGCCCATCTATAACAATCTGTTCTGTCCCCCCCCTTCCCTGACACCGCACTATTCCAGGCCTAGAACTCCTGTCTATTGCTGGGCATGAGACCGTGTTACAATCCCCGCCTATCAGAAGACAGTCTGGCGCTATAGAATTTATGATTTGGCCTATAGTGTCCCAAAATCTATTATCTGGGGTATTTGGGGCATATAGATTTAGTAAATGTAGCTTACGAGGGCCCATCATTCCAGATACTAAGCTATATATGCTTTCTTTATCCTGAAATGAGCTTAAGACTTTAAACTGGCATCGTTTGTGGATCAAGATAGCAACTCCATTATGTTTATGAATGGCATTCGAGCTATATACTCTGTCATACATTTTATCTGTCAGTGATAATACATGGGATCTATTAAAAAAAGTTTTTAGTTCTACGTGACATTCTAACTGTGAGTGTCATAATACTGTTTGCTTTTATTGCAAAAAAATACACATATTTGTATTCAGCGATGTCTCACATGTAAAACAGTACCCCCTATGTACAGGTTTTATGGTGTTTTGGAAAATTACAGGGTCAAATCTAGCATTTTAAATTTTTCAGTTTTCTCACATTGAAATTAGCCAGATTGGTTACGTTGCCTTTGAGACCGTATGGTAGACCAGTTATGAGAATTACCCCCATGATGGCATACCATATGCAAAAGTAGACATCCCAAGGTATTGCAAATGGGGTATGTCCAGTCTTTTTTAGTAGCCACTTGGTCACAAACACTGGCCAAAGTTAGTGTTAATATTTGTTTGTGTGTGAAAAATGCAAAAAACAAATTTGAATGCCAATTTTGGCCAGTGTTTGTGACTAAGTGGCTACTAAAAAATACCCTGGGTTGTCTACTTTTGCAAATGGTATGCCTTCAAGGGGGGTCATTTTCATTCCTGGGCTAGCGTACGGTCTCAAATGCAACATAACCAACCTGGTGAATTTCAATGTGAAAAAACTGAAACGCAAATGTTTATACCTTGTGGAGATGCAAAAGGTATTTGCTCTGCTTGACTCGGGTATCTAAGTAGAGTCATATATGGTTGTTTTCATTAAAATCTCTTTGTCTCACAGGCTATTCTATACCATATTCCATTGGTTGCTGACGCGATCCCTTTATTATTGGTATAAATCACAGTTCTCTATATCAGTACATGATCTTATTATCCCGCGTTTAATATATATAATATGCAAGATGTACATATTAAAGTGCATTCATGCTACTCTAGACATTTTTAGTCCTCTGTTTCCCTGGGTTATATCTTAGTAGAGTCAAATAGTGCAGCTGATCAAAGGGTCTGAAAGAAACAAAGACAAAAATGTGAACCTATTTAAATTAAAATATACACCAAGACAAAAAAAAATCCCTTAAGAGAAAATGAAATTTCCAGTCCATTACAAATAGAAGGTAAGACTTAGACTAAAACAACAAACAAAAACTGTATAAATCACATTTAGGTTACACATCACAGATCAGATAGAACTTTCTGTCTTTTCCCAAGTTGCACCTATCATGACAATTCCTTATCTTGATCTGTGGAATCTCCTTCTTAGCTTCTTATGTTTTCTGAAAATATACCTATTTTGTGAAACTTATATTCCCTCAATAAACCCTCAAATAAAGGATTTCTAGAAGTTATTTTATCTCATTTGTGTCCATCACTTCTCATACCTTGACAGCCTTATTTTACCTGCCCCATGCAGTTCCCTTACCGTCTATCTCAATTACCTCTCATTCCTTCTGTAATGTAATGTTATGTAAAAGTCACAAAATGTTGTGTAGTGCTGACGCATTCTAAAAGATGAAATATTAAATGAATGCAAGAGTAGAATGGTATGACAAGTTACCTGGGTGCCTATGCCTGATCTGGTTCTCTCCTCCAGGAAAAGTCTGGCCAATCCAGTACCTCGTTTATTGAATAAGAGTGCTCAGCTGATGTTGTCAGCCAATGAACACAGTCCTATTTTGCACAGTGGAAACAAGCAGATTCTATTGCAAGAATTATCTGGAAGAAGGGTTTTGGCCACGGCCATCCTGCAGGACCCAGGTAAATTTCCAAATAATTTCAAAACAGTTTAATAAATTTCTCTGGCAGGGTTCCAGAGCCCTCCTGGTGCTATAACCAATATGGGTGTTGTAGTAGTTATGGTGTTTTGAATGTTCCTTCAGTCATATTGATAATTGGTGTGCTATGACTTTGAAATGAACTGTAATAAAGCATTTGAAATAACCCAGTGTCATCAATACAACGAGTCGTCAAATCTTCACATAAATCAACCACCTGCTCGATATTACTGCTCTATCTTCCTTTATTACAGTGAGTAATTAATGACCTTTGTAAAAGCAAAGATACTCAGTAAGTATCCTCTCTTTTTGTTTGTCGTATGTTGACTTTTGCAATCTTATGCATTCTTTGTACACCTCAGCAGGATATTGATCAATTTGATTTTAGCTAAATGGGTCCACTAAGCTAAGAAAACATTAACTATTAGCCAGACTCATAAAAGCAAACATAGCTTTTGGGATTTTACTTTGTTGAAGTCATTGATGAGAACAATTTCGCACACCTCTTACATAGGGAATAAAAAACAAACAACCCAGGTAAGTAATGCTAAAACTGTCCTAAAGCAGAATTAGCAATAGACAGTTTATATTCGATTTAGGTCTTAAGGATTAAATCCAGCTGTTTATTGAAAGATAAAAAAGAAAACACAAGGAGGGGCTGTTTTAGTTCTCTGGTGTTTTAGATATCAAGATGGTGTCTGTTTGAATTTTCTCTAATGTCATCATGTGAACTTAGGTTCATCATCAGAGTTGCGGTGAATACACAGGGAGATACTTTGTTTATAATAGTAACAGAGTGAACTTTGAGTTTTGTTTAGCTTTTATTCCAATTTTGTTATGTGCTGTGGGCTATATATATTTATTCTTATACGTTACTTTTTAACTATCCAGCAAAGTACAAAAATAGTTTAAAAGTAAACAAATTATAAACTTTTCTCAAGTGTTAGAATCAACAGCAAAATAATAAACAATGTATCGAAATGTAGCGCAAAAATAGACTGGTGTCAGTGCACATGGATTTTCTTTATGCTGACCCATAGTTCTTGTTTCATTATATTGCTTGACATTGAAAATAGAATATATAGCAAAACGCAAAGTGAGTCATTCTTGTCCTATCATATTAAAGAAGGCTTTACTCATGCTTTACGTGTATTTATTTATATGTTAGTTCATGTTAGAAAATAGTATTTCATTTAGTAAAACAGCTTTTTTGTTTTCAAAATTTACTGCTACCAAAATAAGTATTTTCATGCAAATTAAAAGACATTCCATGTTTCGATCAATGAAATTGTGTCAGCATTATTTTCTTTAAAATTAATAATAAGAGAGCAGGAAGAGGGGAGAGAGGATAACCCGAAATTTTAAAGACATCATAACAAACCACAAGGCTGAACGTTAAGTAGTCTATAAATTTCTCCAGAACCTAAAGATGACTTATTTTCCCCCATAATATGCACTTTGCAGTAATGTATCTTTTAATTCTTCTTTTAGCTATAACATTGGTGTTGCGTTATGGAGATATTGCTCTCATTGTTTTCCTTTTTGGATTATACACTGTCATATACGGAGGTTTATAGAAGAGTGAAATACACAGTTTGCAGGTGTTTTTGAGACCTTTTGAGATCTTTTTATTTCTCCTGGACTAAAGAACGGTTAGAAGGAATTTGAGAATGAAAAGAAAAGACTTGGTTAAAATAGAAAAAGAAAACCTCAAGAGCAAAAACAGATTAAATTGAAGGATGAGGACAATGGCACTGGCAGAACGTGGTACCAAGGAAGTGTTATGAGGTCATGGTTATACTATATAGGTAATTCAAGTTCGAGGTTATAGAAGAGAGCTTTACAATTTATATTTTTCTGATTGGAATTTCTCCATAGACAAAGGAATTGTTGAGGCTGCTAGCAATCTGAATCACATTTTAATAGATTTTTCTATACCTTGGTAATTGACTATTTTCTGATAAATTAATGTGTTTTTATCAAGGTCGTGTTAAACAACACATATAAAAAAAAATACATTAGATGTCGATGTAGATGTCGATTTGCTTAGCATTGTACAGAGCTGAGCTAATAAAAAAGAGTTACAATTATAACTCAATTTAAACATTTGTTTGTAACAGTATTATTTAGTAAATAGCTATTTTATGGTTCCCTTTAGAGCTCTCTTACTCCATGCAGAAGCTATCACTAAATGGTGTTGTATTTTTGGTGTAACTTGACCCGATAGAGTTATTAGTAATGTGTTGCTTGCTAAGAATCTAGCAGAGTGATAGGTCACAGAATATGCAGAATATGACCACGCATTGCAGCAGGATCCTTAGACAATGCGAAAGTTATCTAGAACATGTGGAGGTCATATACAATGGCAGAATACATAAGACAAGGCTTAAGTAACCCATAAATAGCAAAGGAATAGTTCTCCCATCTCCTCTAAAATGCTAATGAATACATTTATTCTGTGACCTATTTTACTTTGAGAGAGCAAAAAACAAGGTACATGAGAATACTGAAAATGGACAACATTTTAAGTAGTTTGCCTTTTGGTTGTTCCCCACTCAGATCTCAAGCTAGTTTTAGCTCATCTTGAGTCATTACAAAGAGAACCTAGGCCATTTGTATATAAGACTGACATCATCCAAAAGGGCTGTCCAGATCCGAAATACAGGCTGGTTCTGTCTGCACAAGAGATACAGCAACCCCAGATGATCATTTTGGCCTTGTTACGCCTCATCAGAAAGGTATATAACTTATATCCCTCTAGGGCATCACAAGCAAGTGTCTGGGTTATCTGAATTACTTTTTAAACTTAGGGAGAGCAAAAAAACAGCGTGCATGAGAATGCTGAAAATGGAGAACCGCTCAAGAAGAATGCCTATCGGTAGGTCTACTGCTTTGATCTAAAACAGGGGTTCCCAACCCAGTCCTCAAGTACCCCCTACCAGTCCAGGATTTAGGGATTTCCTGAAGTGTGTTAGACACAACTGGGTAATCCCTAAATCCTGAACTGTTAGAGGGTACTTGAGGACTGTGTTGGGAACCACTGTTCTAGAGTAATATCAGCTCACCTGATGGCGCACAAAGAAGGCCTAAATGATCATTCAGGGTTGCTGTATCTCTCGTGCAGAGAGAACTTGCTGGAATTTCAGCTCTTAACTACCCTTATGGGTGGGATCAGTCTGATATGCATATGGTATAGGTTCATTTTGTAATGGCATAAGTGAGCAAAAAAAATGTTGAGACCTGAACAGGGACTTATCGAAGCACAAGCCCGTTTTCATGCTCTCTGTTTTTGATGCAAGCTCTTTTCGTTTGTTACTCTTTCCAGATATCATGTATAATTTTGTTTGAGAATACCATTGAGCATTTTCATTCAGAATTTAACTTGTATCACTACCTTGGCTGCAAACGTTAAAAAATGTATTTATTTATTTTTCCTTGTGTAAGGGCTTCTGATAGTAATATCTGTTAAGATGTTCTGCGTGTGGAGTCGAAATCTAGTTTTATTACAAGATAATGTCAAATAAATTTACAGATGGTAATTAGTTTTCTATTTATTTATTTAGAATATTTGTAAGTAAAACCTCCAGTGAATCCTGTTCGAGCACATTCTGTGTCATTTTCAAGTTTCACTGTTATCAATATTGTTGTTCATTACCTCTTCGAACACAAGACTAAACATTTACGGACTTGAACTGAGTAAAGTGCATTTAGTTGCATTAATGACTTTGTTGTACTTGACTTACAGTATCATAGAATTGTATATTTCAAAACACTTTTAAAAGTCCCAATGGATGAAGAGATGGGAAGATGTTCACAAGGTTGCATTGTATCGGATTTATTTCCACAGTGATTTAAAACACAGCTTACTCTTAGAAAATCTAACTTACATAATATCAGGATTTAAGAATTTAAGTCTTAGAAGAAAGATACATTTTCTATAAAAGTCTAAATTTGAAAAAATAATTAGCATCACCTTTCTGCATTGGAGCCAAAAACCTATAAAAAAAGAGAAACATTTATACGGCAGTTGTTTTTGGAGAGGGTCTTTTTGTGACATATTTGCACATTTTTAGATCCTGAAGTTACAGATAAAAATGTTAGGATATTTCAAAAAAATTATATGGTGATTGTACAAATAATTTCTCTGCAGAGACTCATTATATAGTCAGCCCATTACCCCATTACTAAGCATAATGAATAACCAATACATTTCCTTAAATCAGTAAAGCATGGTTCAAAACATGCATGTTACAAAAGTGCCAGGAAATCTCAAATGTTCACACAGAAATACTTTTTTTAAGCTATGCATATGATCATTATATATTTATGTATTTTTTCTATTTAAAAAATTATAGAGTACAGTACCACACTAGAACAGTGCATAAAGGCTTTAAAAGCTTAGTACAGTATAATTTTGTCAATAAAATGTTTTCTTTGGTTCCATTAAAAATTGCAAACCTGGAATAAATATAAAGGTTTCTAAATATATTGTGAAATGTCAAGCATGTAGAATTATTCTCTGAATTGTAGCCATTAATGGAATTGCTATGGATACAGCTAATATATTAAAAATTATTTAATCTTTTTTAATGTACTCCCCTGTAAATGTCTTTTTTTTTTTTAAATCACTGATCTATTCACAGGTTTAAACTCTAATCATTCCTTTTTCTCTATGAATAAAAAGGTGTGGGTAGTTCTATTTGCAAATGCTTATATGTTAATTGGTATGAGAATGGACATTTGTTTCGTACCAGTCTTTTTCCTAAAATTTAAACGAGGTAAACGTGAGCTTAATGAAAAATTCATGATTAATGAACCTCTCCTTATATATTTGTTATTCTCTGTGTTTCATGAGTTGTCCCCTCTGGACCCCATGTAAGCCACCCTCATGTTACAAGAGGTAGGAAACCAACGGGGTGGCTTAAAACATATATTTTTGAGAGTATGAGTTTTGCAGTATGAGTGTTTTTGAAAGTGTGTCTGGGGATGTGTGCATAGAGTGGCATTGTTTATCTTTGTGCGTGTGTGTGTGCTTACCAGAGACTGTATGTCTCACACATGGGCGTCCGCAGGAATTTTTCCGGGGTTGGGGCATAATTGTAATGACATCCATGCTTGGTACCTTTTTGACAGTGTCATGAAAGGGAAGGGGCATAGTCATTATCACATTAAGCCAGGGTGAATAGCGGTTTCACAACTATGGTGTCAGGAATATATGTTTGTATTCCTGACACTATAGTGTTCCTTTAAGCAAATTAAAGGACCATTCTGGTCACCATAACAACTTCACCTAAATGAAAATGTTATGATGCCAGGAAGCCCCTGGGTGCTCTCTTTCCTTTAAAGGGTTAAACTGCTCTCAAATGGTTTAACCCCAAAAGATTCCTCCAGCTTCAGGTCGCTCAGTGGTATTTGGGTTCTGAAACAGAGTGTCAGGAAGTGAGGATTGACGTCAGGCATGGGTCAGGCATGGGCTAGAGTGGACAGTTGACGCTCGAAGCCAATCGCTAGTTCCCGGTTCATAAAACATTTTTACTTAGGAATGGGGAGCTACTGATTGGCTTAGAGTGCCAGCTGACCGCTCTAGCCAATCAGCAACACCCCTACCCAATGGCACTCTTTGCTTCCTGATACTCAGTGAATACAGGGAGTGCAGAATTATTAGGCAAGTTGTATTTTTGAGGATTAATTTTATTATTGAACAACAACCATGTTCTCAATGAACCCAAAAAACTCATTAATATCAAAGCTGAATATTTTTGGAAGTAGTTTTTAGTTTGTTTTTAGTTATAGCTATGTTAGGGGGATATCTGTGTGTGCAGGTGACTATTACTGTGCATAATTATTAGGCAACTTAACAAAAAACAAATATATACCCATTTCAATTATTTATTATTACCAGTGAAACCAATATAACATCTCAACATTCACAAATATACATTTCTGACATTCAAAAACAAAACAAAAACAAATCAGTGACCAATATAGCCACCTTTCTTTGCAAGGACACTCAAAAGCCTGCCATCCATGGATTCTGTCAGTGTTTTGATCTGTTCACCATCAACATTGCGTGCAGCAGCAACCACAGCCTCCCAGACACTGTTCAGAGAGGTGTACTGTTTTCCCTCCTTGTAAATCTCACATTTGATGATGGACCACAGGTTCTCAATGTGGTTCAGATCAGGTGAACAAGGAGGCCATGTCATTAGATTTCCTTCTTTTATACCCTTTCTTGCCAGCCACGCTGTGGAGTACTTGGACGCGTGTGATGGAGCATTGTCCTGCATGAAAATCATGTTCTTGAAGGATGCAGACTTCTTCTGTACCACTGCTTGAAGAAGGTGTCTTCCAGGAACTGGCAGTAGGACTGGGAGTTGAGCTTGACTCCATCCTCAACCCGAAAAGTCCCCACAAGCTCATCTTTGATGATACCAGCCCAAACCAGTACTCCACCTCCACCTTGCTGGCATCTGAGTCGGACTGGAGCTCTCTGCCCTTTACCAATCCAGCCACGGGCCCATCCATCTGGCCCATCAAGACTCACTCTCATTTCATCAGTCCATAAAACCTTAGAAAAATCAGTCTTGAGATATTTCTTGGCCCAGTCTTGACGTTTCAGCTTGTGTGTCTTGTTCAGTGGTGGTCGTCTTTCAGCCTTTCTTACCTTGGCCATGTCTCTGAGTATTGCACACCTTGTGCTTTTGGGCACTCCAGTGATGTTGCAGCTCTGAAATATGGCCAAACTGGTGGCAAGTGGCATCGTGGCAGCTGCACGCTTGACTTTTCTCAGTTCATGGGCAGTTATTTTGCGCCTTGGTTTTTCCACACGCTTCTTGCGACCCTGTTGACTATTTTGAATGAAACGCTTGATTGTTCGATGATCACGCTTCAGAAGCTTTGCAATTTAAAGAGTGCTGCATCCCTCTGCAAGATATCTCACTATTTTTGACTTTTCTGAGCCTGTCAAGTCCTTCTTTTGACCCATTTTGCCAAAGGAAAGGAAGTTGCCTAATAATTATGCACACCTGATATAGGGTGTTGATGTCATTAGACCACACCCCTTCTCATTACAGAGATGCACATCACCTAATATGCTTAATTGGTAGTAGGCTTTCGAGCCTATACAGCTTGGAGTAAGACAACATGCATAAAGAGGATGGTGTGGTCAAAATACTAATTTGCCTAATAATTCTGCACTCCCTGTAAAAGTGAACACATTAACACTGATATTTTTTTTTTACCTTTGGAGATGAGAAGGTCCAGAGTTTCCCTGCCAGGCCCAGGTACCAAAGCCTTATGATGTGGTGTCTAGAATAAAGTGGAGGGTTCACTTCATTTGTCCTTCCTGCTCCAATCCCCTTTTCCTCTCCTTTATTTGACAGTCTTCTTTTTCTTCTGACACTGTTTTCTATCCTTGGCCCCTTCTGCTCATTTTGCGCCCTTCTGCTCCTTTCTCATTCTGATCCCTTTCTGCTCCTTGCAGACCCTTTCTGCTCCTTTTTCTACTTTACCTTTGTGCCCCTTGCTGTCCCTTTCTGCTCCTTCTCCTACTTTACCTTTGTGTTCCTTCTGATTCTTTCTGCTCCTTTACCTTCCTGCTCCTCGCAGGCCCTTCCTGCTCATTCTCCTACTTTACTTTGTGCTCCTTCTGCCCCTTACAGCTCATTTCTGACCCTTTCTGCTCCTTCCACTTTACATTTGTGCTGCTTTACATTCCAGCTCCTTGCTGACCCTTCCTGTTCATTTCTGTTCCTTTGTGCTCCTTCTCCTACTTTACCTTTTGTGTTCCTTGCTGTCCCTTCCAGCTCCTTGCTGCCCCTTTCTGCTCCTTGATGTCCCTTCCTGCTCATTTCTGTTCCTTCTTCTTTCTGCTCCTTCTCTTACTTTACCTTCCTGCTCCTTGCTGACTCTTCATGTAGGCTGTCTCCCCCATCCCTCACTTCCATAGGCGTGCGCACGGGGTGTGTCGAGTGTGCCTGGGCACACTCTAACCCCCGCGGCATGCCAATGGATTGGGACCGGCAGGGGAGATCTCTGGATCTCCCCGGTCGGCTCATGCAGAGCCGGCGCTATCCGAGTGGCGGCTCTGGTCTAAGCCTCCATGGGCCGGTGGGGAGATCAAAGATCTACCTCACCGGTCCACAGCAGCATGGAGGGAGGCAGCAGAGATCCCGGGCTAGAGTTCACTCTCCACTGGACCACCAGGGAAAGCAGCAGCACAGTCCCCCCTCCCTACATGAGGTAAAAAGGGAGGGGGGATATTAACTAATCTGCCCCCACCTCCACCCAAACATACAGCACACACACACAAACAGCATACACACAGCACCCACACACACACAGCACACAAACAGCACCCACACACACAAAGCACACACACAGCACCCACACACATACAACACCCACACACACAGAGCACACTAACAGCATCCTCACAAACACACAACACTCGCACAGCACCCACACACAAACAGCACACTCACACACAAACAGCACCCTCACAAACACACAACACCCACACACAACACACAAACAGCATCCTCGCACACAGCGCCCTCACACACAGCACACTAACAGGCCCCTAACAAACACGCACACACAAACACCCTCACACACACACAGCACACTACCAGTTCCCTCACACACAGCACACAAACAGCACCCACACACAGCACACTAACAGCACTCACACACAGCACACTAACAGCACTCACACACAGCACACACAAACACCCTCACCCACATAGCACGCTACCAGCACCCTCACACACATCACACTAACAGCACCCTTACACACACACACCGCACCCTTACACACACAGCACCCTCACACAGCACTGTATGTATGTGAATATATATATATCTATATATATATAGATATATATATACACACACATATACATACATACATACATATAAACGTGGCGTGTGTTTGTGCTTTAGGGTGCTCACCCTAATGCAAAAGGCTGCGCACGCATATGCTCACTTCCCTAATCTATAGGATGCCCCCTCATGCCTCACTTCCCTAATCTGTAGGCTGCCCCCCCACATGCCTCACTACCCTAATCTATAGGCTGCCTCCCACATGCCTCACTCCCCTAATCTATGGGCTTCCCCATGCCTCACTCCCCTAATCTATAGGCTGCCCCCCATGCCTCACTCCCCTAATCTACATGCTGCCCCCCACATGCCTCACTCCTCTAATCTATAGGCTGCCCCCCACATGCCTCACTCCTCTAATCTATAGGCTGCCACCTCCACATGCCTCCACTCCCTAATCTATAGGCTGCCCCCACATGCCTCACTCCCTAATCTATAGGCTGCCCCCTATGCCTCCTCCTAATCTATAGGCTGCCCCCTACATGCCTCACTTGCTAATCTATAGGCTTCCCCCATGTGCCTCACTCCTAATCTATAGGCTGTCCCCCCATGCCTCACTTGCCTAATCTATAGGCTGCCCCATGCCTCACTTGCATAATTTATAAAATGCCCCCCACGCCTCACTTGCCTAATCTATAGGCTGCCACCATTCCTCACTTCCCTAATCTATAGGCTGCCCCCCATGCCTCACTTGCCTAATCTATAGGCTGCCCCCCCATGCCTCACTTGCCTAATCTATAGGCTGCCCCCCCATGCCTCCCTCCCCTAATCTAAAGGCTTACCCCATGCCTCCACTCCCCTAATCTATGACACCCCACACATGCCTCCTCCTAATCTATGGGCTGCCCCCCCATGCCTCCCTAATCCTATGAGTTGCCCCATGCCTCCTTGCCTAATCTAGGATTTGCCCCCATGCCTCACCTCAATCCTGACACCCCCATGCCCCACTCCCTAATCTATAGGCTGCCTCCATGCCTCACTCCCCTAATCCCTGAGGCTGCCCCCCATGCCTCCTCCCCTAATCCTATAGGCTGCCCCCATGCCTCACTTGCCTAATCTATAGGCTGCCATGCCTCACTCCCCTAATCTATGGGCTGCCCCAGCCTCCTCCCCTAATCATAGGCTGCCCCATGCCTCACTCCCCTAATCTAGGCCCCCACATGCCGCCTCCCTAATCTATAGGTTGCCCCCCATGCCTCACTCCCCTAATCTATAGGCTGCCCCCCATGCCTCACTCCCCTAATCTATAGGCTAAATAGTTGTCAATCCATTATTACAAAAAATGAAATTCAAATGGAACTTTCAAAAATGTTACAATTGTAAATATATTCTCACTTATCCAGGTATTGAATATATCATTGGCTAAATAATTAACATCTAGTAAAACTTTAAGCTGACTTTTGGTCACGCATAATCTGACTGACTCCCGGTGCCAGGCACTGTGATAGCCTTTCATCTTATCTAATGCAATGTTTACAGACCAATGTCTACTTTCAACCATCAAATTATTGTTTTTTTTTGCAAGAAACCAACATAGATGTTAAATAAACTGCTGTCTACAATTCTCTCTTTATTTCCAATATCTATCCTTTATAAGGGGAAAAGAAGCTAAACAAAAAGAAACCAAGATTAATATAAAAACTACAGCATGCTTGAAATGTCATTATAGTAAACATGTGAATCAGCATTTTCTGTCCATTCACTTCCTAGAATTACATAGAGCAGGGCATCAGCTGGCGAGAGGCGATATTGAATATTTTTTTCTTTTATGACTTTTCAGACACTTTGTGAAACAACACAAAGTATTAGTAAGATAGCAAGTAAAGTAAATTCTTCCTGCATGGAATCCCCTAGCTTTTGGACATCTGTTTCTTGATAAATGGAATCTTTACGGTAAACTAAAATGTTATCATGCATGTTTAATAACGTACATATATGTAAAAGCGGGTGTAAATTGTATGTTGTCCTATAGTGACTTAGATGATTTTGTGCATAAAAGTTACTTCAAAAATATCAAATTATTATTATTATTATTATTATTAGAAGGGATGGAAATTGGTCAAATTAATTATGAAAAATGCGTGGTGAGCCCATCATGACTGCAATGTGTACAGCAAATTCACATTCACTGAGTGATTTAAGAAATATATAAAAATATATATATCCTTTTTATAAATTGGTGATACATTATGTTTTATTTTGCCATAGATCATACATCAATGAAAATAATATGGTAAAAGCTCAAACACAAATTATGTAACATGAAGCCAATCTCAAAAAATGGATAAACACCCTGCTTATGGGAATTTATAACATGCCTGCTGCCTTTTTAATTGTTTCCATGCTTTTTGGCTAAAAGCAGATGTTAAGCATTGTTACCAATAAAGATGCTTGGAGCTAAACAAAAAAAAAAATAGGTTTCTGTGGTTCATCCATGTCTAAATGCTACTTTTCTGCATTCTACTGTGAAACATTTGTTCCTCCACTGATTTACAAAGTTTTTAAGGTTTGCAAACTGGAAAATATGGTGCATTCACTAAATACAATTCATAGTAACTCCACCAGCACACTACTTAACTTTGCACTCTTCACCTGTGAGCAAGTTGGCTTTAAGGGTTTATTCACTAAACAGAAAATTCTAGTGAACTGAAAATCAAATTGTTTTTAATCTCCTAATAATCTCTATTAGAAACATGAAAATCTAAAGAGTTACTCCTAGCACTGTAACTACTCAAGTGATATGAAGTTGTGATGGTGTCTGGAGTCTGCAAGTACAGCATTTGCACATAAAGAAATGAACCATTCAGCCTGCGGGAGGTATCGCTTCACCAAGGGTCGGATTAGGAGCTCATTGAACTTGGTGCTGACATTTACGATGGGCCTAATTATAGAATCTTATCGACGGAAAACATTAAAACAGTTATACCTCCCAAGCATCATGTATCTGGTGGAGGTGGTGTTGGAGGGAAACCCACAGGACATAGCTATCAGAAAACACATACCCTTTGCTAATCTCTCGCTTTCATCTTTCAAGTAAATCCATACACCCTAATAGCAGTGTCCAGTGAAGTAGGATTTCAGTTGGTAAAAGGGTGGGTCACTGATGTGAATCACGTAGCCAGAACCGCCAAAAGGGACAAACATACACAAAAAATTAGATGGTCATCCTGGCATGAATGCACGTCAGGCTGCCTGCCAATCATGCAGGATGACCAACCAAAGGCATATTGTGCAGGCAGCACCCTGAGCTTAAAATAAATTAGGTCCAGGCACTCAGGATTGCTGCAGGAAGGCAGGTTTATTTGAACAAAAAGTGCAACGTTTCGACCTACACAGAGGCCTTTATCAAGCATGATATGCTGAAAAGTTGCACTTTTTGTTCCAATAAACTTGTCTTCCTGAAGCAATCCTGAGTGCCTGGACCTAATTTATTTTATCTACTTAAGTGGTTTTTGCCAAACCTGGCCCTGATAAGCACCTGGATTCCTAAGTGTGAGTGCAGTATACTCCGTTTGTGAATTACTACAGCACCCTGAGCTTAGCATCAATGCGTCTAATGATGCGCTAGCTTTATGCTTTCTAAGGACTGTCCCCTAGCACATTCTGGTCCACTCCTCTCTCTCCTAACCTTCTTACTAGCAGGCAGAAACTCCTGTTATACAGTTTGGGACAGCGCAAAAGTGTAAGTAATGAGTGTAGAAGTAAGGGAACATGCCACAGTGCTAGAGAGACTGTAGTGTGCAAAGTCAGCTTTACCTCAACTAATTTCATTGTCAACCAGTCCACCAGTTTGTTCCCCTACATCCCTCTTACGTTTCCACACTTAAGCAAGAGCATATAAATAATAGTAAAAAAAAATAATAATAATGAATGGGCCTATACCATGGTCATGGGCCTGGAGCTGCAGTTCCACCAGCCCGTATGTTAATCCGGTCTTGGCTCCACCTTTTGAAGCAACATTAATCAACCCAAAACAAAGCTCTATGCTGGCTGATGCCAATTTTTGGCATAATTAGCATCTGATGGCAGCAAACATAGTGGAGCCAGCCAATGGAGGCAAAGAGCCTCCATATTGCTGCCCCTGTCCTCCCCTCTGTCTGTCCTCCCTGACCTACCCCTCCAGTGAGATGGAGTGATGTTACCCAAGGAGGATTGATCTGAGAGAAGAGCTTGGGCTTGGTAGTGGAACAATTTAACAGCAACTGCTAATTACCAGGTGATAATAGTGAAATTATATAGCATGGAAATGTCTACAAGTTGCTAGAATTACTGGCAGCCATTTTGAACATATCTGGCTTATCAATTACTAACTGTGACATGTTTAGAAATAATTCCATTGTTGGGAATGCAAATTCCTGAAAAGGTCATCAGAATGTAATTGTTATATATGTATATAGGCATCTTAAAGAACTCAAACAACTTAAAATTATCTAGCTCATGAAAGGGTTGGGTTTAATTCTAAGCATTGAAGAACAATGTCGAATTGCTTTTTCAGTTCAATGTATTCTATTTTTTTTTTTTTACTAAAACCTTGCTTATGGCCTTTTGTCTTTTCAAGCTGAACAGAATTTATCGGACTGCTAGATGACAAAATGGAGAAAACAGGAAATCTCAATGGCATTTGTAGGTGGTATATTTATGCAATGCATGGATATGTGTGCGAGATCATGTTCACAGCAGCTTGGGACCTTTGCCACACACACAGCTGGAAACTAATTGGTGTCAGCAGCATTTGGGCTTTTTTCATATATGGAACAGCAATTTTTATCATAGAAAAAATGCTACTTTACCTTTATTTAAGATGCAACATCTTTGTAAGATGTTTAATGTATACTATATGGACATACACATGGGAGTTTTCAACAGGTTATATTCTAAGAATTTTTGATGCTTGTCCATGGGATTACTCTCATTTTCCCGGAAATATAATGGGCCTTATTACCTTGGAGTATGCAATCCCATGGTTCTTTGCCTGTATGATAGCAGAACAGGTGGTGATCAAAAATACTTTTCTTCTACAATTTCCTGAGCAATCAAATCACAGAAAACACAAGGGATGTTAACGACCAACCAAACAGTAACGTCATGGACATTCTAGACCTAATTCTTCAGTAATCCAACCAGTAACTGGTTATAGCTGCCTTTGTTTGTATATTATATTAGAATGATATATTTTCTATAACTGACTATAAATACAATGTTGATTTTCATTCGTGCCTTATCTGAATTCAATCACCTATGCCAATGTAAATAGTTATTACACTATTACGACAAATTTGTTTTTTTTTTAAATGTCTTTTTATGTATAAGCAATAACAAATATCTTGTCAAAGGTGTGCTGATCACTGGCTCAGGAGCCCTATATCTCATTGATGGTCTGGTGGGGGAAGGGATAGCTGTGATATGGGGGGGTAAAATCAAACAGCAATGAAAATGGTAATTTGATTAAACACAGTGTCCCTGTATACAGTAATGAACACAATATCATTTATATCATTTTACATTAAGATGTGAATTTACATTCAGGTCTTAATGTAAATTATGCGCCATTTTATTCCTATTGGATATATTCACAAATTTTATTGGATTTTTTTTTTCTTCAATTTTATGTCTTCTCTGCAGCAAAGAAGAATTATGATCAGGAGATATTTTAAATTTATGGGGCTCTTTATATTTTGATATGTTAAGTATTAAATAATAGATAACTTAATGCGTAGGAGGAATTTAAGAATTTTATCCTTTATACCAGGCTTCCCCAAATTCCGGCCCTCCAGATGTTGCTGAACTACAACTCCCATGATTCTATGATTGAAATAGATGGACTGAGAATCATGGGAGTTGTAGTTCAGCAACATCTGGAGGGCCGGAGTTGGGGGAAGCCTGCTTTATACTATCCTTGAAGATCGTGCTAGGATATGTCTGATTGCATATTCTAATAGTATTAATTCTTTTTTAAAATGATTAGATGTTCTAATGAGTGTTTAAAATGTGTGGTGTTTACCTTAAAATTTGTTGACAGCATAATATGTACATTGATAAACGTCATTGTAGTTATTTCATAATGTTATTTTTAGTGAAATCTGGGTAACTATATCAAGATTTAAATCTTGAATGAAATGCATAGATTTTTATCGTGGTTACTGTTTAGAGGATTAGCATATATTCAGTATAAACAACACTACAAGAGATTAATTTAGCACCAAACTGCAAATAGTACAAATTTCGGCTGATCTGGAGATTCTCAAACTCAAATCTAAAGCGTAGCTGAGTCACAAGCCAAATGAAATGTGCAATGGCCGACCATGTCTTTCTGATTTGTGTGGTAGACAATCGTACTAGTCTAGGATATATGGTAATTAATCTTATATGAAGCCCAATAAATGATCAGGGTGCTAGATTCACAAATTGAGGAATGGAAAAGAGAAGACATTAGATAAAGCTAATCGTTATGAGGCAAATCAGATATGAGAAGAAGGGGTAACCAGAGGTGTGATCTAGGAATGAATCCAGAATGTGCAAGAAAATGGACCCAGAAAAAGTCAGGAGGACAACTTGGCATTTATTGTTTTTTTCTTCTCTTTAAAATCTGTTCCTTTTCTTTATTTCTGATCTATTTCTCTTTAAAACATAACACAAAGTAGGGACTACTTTGTGCTGTGTAATTTTCCTATGCTCGACAATCTTGACAAAGGGTGGAGCTCAAGGCAGGGCTGGATTAACATAGGGGCTGATGGAGCTGCATTCCATGGAATAGGCCCATTGATTAAAAAAAAAAAAAAATACTTTTCACTTGCTCTTGCTTAAGTTTTGAAACTTAAGCGGGATGTAGTGGAACAAATCTGGTGTGGACTGGCTGACAATGAAATTAGTTAAGGTAAAGCTGACTTTGCGCACTATGCAAATGCTCTTGCTACTTCAGTCTCTATAACACTGTGGCATCTTCCCTTTCTTCTACACTCACTACAGTCCCAGACTGTATAAGAGGAGCTTCTGCCTGCTAGTAAGAAGGTTAGGAGAGGAGTGGACCAGCGAGTGTTGGGGGACAGTCCTTAGAAAATTTAGAGAGTCTTTTACCCCATTCACCAAAATCCTGCTTCAGGGGGTATGGATTTACTTGAACGATGAAAGTAAGAGATTAACATAGGGTATGTGTTCTCTGATAGCTATATCCTGTGAGTTACCTTCCAGCACCACCTCCACCAGATACATGACACTTGGGAGGTATAACTGGTTTAGTGCTTTCTGTCGATAACACTCTTTAATTAGGCCCATTATAATTGTCAGCACCAGGCCCAATTGACTCCTAATCTGGCCCTGGCTCAAGGCAAGCTCCACTTATTTTGATTGGGTGGGCTGAGCTGAGCAGAGCTCTAATTCTCGACCAAAGTATCTCCATCAAAGCCTCCTTTTCCCACAGAGTTTTCATTGATATATATCAGCCCACCCAAACATCAGTAGAGACTTGATGAAGGGTGAAAACAGGAATACTTTACTGGGTTATGATGAACACATTTATGCATAGACCCCCATCAGAGGGTTAAGTAGAACAATATAGATCCCATCCATATGCCTATGTGTCTGGGAGATAATTAGATTGAGTACTATTCTCATTAACCTCTAGACAACAGGCCATTTTAACAGAATATCCCCAAAAACATACATTTAGACATCAGTTACCTCGTGTATAAGGTATGCCAGGATAGCTCATCCTCGAGTTCCCAAGCTGTTAAAATAGTGCACTCATACCATGCATGATGTAAAATCGCCACCCAGTTAAATTGTTTTTTTTAGTTGACAGGCTGCTTCAGAGCATATACCCTGCACAGATAGGCAACCAGGTGGTCGGATTGGGTGCTTGGTCTGGTAGTGTTTGTTAGACAAGAGCCATAGCAGAGTAATAAGCAGTCTGTTTAGGTAGTACAGTCTTGTAACATGGATTCCTTTGATGCATAGTCCGGCAGACACAGCCAGATCCAGACGGGTCAGCTTGGGGATGTCCAAGTATAGTTTACTTTAGTCTTCAAGATTGGGTTGCTAGGACAATCCTTTAGCAATACTGTTCGGTTTTCATGGCCTATATTGCATTGTAAGGTTATATGGTTGACTCCAGCTACCCTGTTTAGTCAGATGAGGGGATTATGGTCCATTTTTAGGGTGAAGGATCGACCATACAGGTATAATTGTAACTTTTTTTAATGCCCACACCAGGACCACACACTTCTTCTTGACCGCTGCATAGATGACCTCCAGCAGAAGGAGCTTCCTACTGATGAAGCCAATAAGAAGCTCTCTCTCCCATTGTCCCTGACAAGGCTCAACACAACTCCCTGTCCAAACATGGTGGCCTCTATATGGAAAATAAAGCATTTGGTTTGGTCAGGTGCAGCCAATACTGGAGTATTGGTTAGGGCCATCTTTAACTGTTTGAAGGCCCCCTCACACTCCGGGGAACACATATTTATAAAAACACACATTCTATGTTTTTCTTTACATATCCTAATGCCAATTCTAGTTATGCTTTTGTCTGCGTATGATACTAATATTCCCAATGATACTCCTCTTGACAATCATGGCTCACATCAAACACTGTGCGGTAGCAGCCTCTACAGCTATCTGACTGTCCATTGTGAAGTGCTCCAACAACTATGACTTCCGTTTGTATCCACGTCCACAATCATTTGAAGGTGTATTTTTTCTTCAGTACACCTCTTCCCCTATGAGATCTGCTCTACAGCCACTTTACTGGAGCCAAGTCAATGCAGAGATCAGTTCCCGTGCAGTTTGTTGTGGCTAAAATCAAACTACTCACGCCAAGGTTAAATCTCCAGTGCCTTTTCTGTGAGGATAAAATATGAATTTTCGCCTCACACTGCAAAATACTCCTGATTATACGGAGTTAATTAACCACCACAATATAAAAAACACCTATTTTCAAGTCTGCCATCTGATTATTTACACACTATACTCATTTGTATGTCTGCCATGAACAGGTGTACAATTTATATAAAAACAATAAATGTCAACGCAATTTAGTTTTTAGCTCTAAATACCTCTTAATCCCTTAATTAACTAAAGAAACATATGTGCACAATTTAAAAAGGGTTATGTTGCTAGTTAACACATTATCATACCATATCACTGATTTTTCTTCTGAATGGCAGAATAAATTATATGATTCTTCAAGTTTTTTACATTTTACATTTCTGTTCATTTTTCTAATATTTTTTAAATTTACTCCTTGGATGTATGATGAAGTGAATGATTGTACTTCAAGGAGCATGCATATTTTAATCCTTCAAAATCATTTCAATGCATTATTTCTTAGTATATGTATAAATAATGTTCGTATAAAATTGCTTCTAATTAATCTTTAGTTAATTACAATAAACCTTGGAGTGTATGGAGATGAATGGGGTATGATATTAGACCCCAATCTATCTTTTAGCCTGCACATAGAAAAGCTTGCATCTAAACTTTATCCAAAATTAGGTGCCCTGTACAGAAACAAAGCCTGCCTAAGCCCTACAGTAAAGGAAAAGATTGTACAGCAAATGCTGATGCCAATCATTGATTATGGGGATGTAGTATATGCGTCTGCATCGCAATCCCACATTAATAAACTCAACACATTGTATAACTCGTTCTGCAGATTTGTGCTACAATGTAATTACAGGACCCATCATTGTGACATGCTAAAGGAACTAAACTGGCTGTCGCTGGAATCCAGACGCACCCTTCATCTTTCCAGTCTTGTTTTTAAGAGCTTTTCTGGGAAACTCACACCCTACCTGAACAAAATGCTTTCCCCAGCTGTTCCCACTTTCTATAACCTCCGATCCAGTACAAGCACTTTACTTAGTCTACCTCAATACAAAAAGAAAGCGGCCTGATCCTCCTTCTCCTACAGAGCGCCGCAATTGTGGAACGACCTCCCGCACAATTTAAAATCTTCCCTAAGCCTAAAGTCTTTTAAGAGATCCCTCTCTACATACCTCAAAACAGAATGCACGTGTCATGGTTGATTATATATTTCCTGCCTGTTCTATGTTAAATTTTGTATATATTGTGTATTAATATTGTTTTTGTATTTTGTTGTACCTAATGTAACAATGCAATGATTTGTGGACCCAGGACATACTTGAAAACGAGAGAAATCTCAATGTATCTTTCCTGGTAAAATATTTTATAAATAAATAAATAAATAAATAATAAATAAATAAATAATGGGAAAGTACTTTATGAAATTGGCAGTAACAAACAGTTTAATGCTGACTCACTGATCTCGTAGAAGTGGTATTACTTTTTGTAATTGCCCACCAATTTAACAGTGATTCTAAACTTTAAGCTCTTTAAATGGAAAAAAAAATATTGAATGCATATACTTTATGTGCATTTATCTTTTGTATCATGCTATTGCATCTTGGATCGGACCAGTTTCAAGTGTGCATTTTACTTGTCATATAGAAACATAGAATGTGATGGCAGATAAGAACCATTCAGTCCATCTGAATTGTTAGGAATTCCTAATTTAAGGTATCATTAAACTATTGCATTATCAAAGAAAGACTTCTCTTTCTCATTAGCTGTCTTTAGTATAAAAAATCTGCATATAGGCCACACCAACCCATGCCCCTCAAACTTTAATCGATCCTGTTAACACCTTATAAAACTCATATATTCCGTATACTTAATAGCCCCTGCACTGAGAGACCACTCTTAAATCCAAACTCCATTACCTACTCTCAACTACAAGCACACTTCTGTGAATATCAACTACTCCAGTGAGTGTATGTGCGCATGCGTACACAGAAGAGCAAGACATTAAAGGACCACTATAGGCACCCAGACCACTTCAGCTTAATGAAGTGGTCTGGGTGCCAGGTCCAGCTAGGATTAACCCTTTCTTCTATAAACATAGTAGTTTCAGAGAAACTGCTATGTTTATAATAGGGTTAATCCAGCCTCTAGTGGCTGTCTCATTGATAGCCACTACAGGTGCTTCTGCGCTTCTCACTGTGATTTTCACAGTGAGAAGACGCCAGCGTCCATAGGAAAGCATTGAGAATGTTTTCCTATGGACTAGCTAAATGCGTGCGCGGCTCGTGCCGAGCATGGCATTCAGCTGATGACGACGAGAAGGAGGAGGAGAGGAGGAGGAGAGTCCCCCGCCCGGCGCTGGAAAAAGAGGTAAATTTAACCCCTTCCACCTCCTAGAGCCCGGCGGGAGGGGGGCCCTGAGGCTGGGGGGGGACCTAGAGACCAAGTATGTTTTCCTGGCACTATAGTGGTCCTTTAAGCTGACGTCGTAAATATCTCAAGACTTTATTTAATAAACTCTGCATTGTAGTGAAGTGAATCTTGAATTGCATAATTCAGGCTAAAACAGCCTAGTTTTGATTTTCAAAGTTTTTGGCCTAAATGTTGAGGTGCAGGGTCCAGTTCAAAGCAACTCACTATATAGTGAATAAATCCATAATCTAAAGTAAACATTTATAGGACAAGACTGCTTTATTCTGATATAAGATAGTTTAGGGTGGATTTTACTCACTAAACAATGGCTAGTGGTGAGCGGAATACCAATTAGTAAAAATGAACATATTAAACACCATAACCACTACAGTGGCGGTAGTGGTTATGGTGTGATAAGTGTCTTGGCACCAACCCAACTTACCTGGGTCCCCAGGGTGCCTACGTCCCCTAATACAGTAGAAGCTGGATATCTTCAGTGAGCTTAACAGGTCTCATACAGTCCAATAGGACTCATGTATGATGTCAAGCTATGAACTCAAGCTATTCTAAATCAATTTAAAAACTTAATCTGGAGGATGTCAGAGCAGTCCTGCCACCATAACAACTACAGCAATCAAATGATAGCAACTTTTTCAGTCTTTGTCCCCTCCCTCAAACTTAAAAAATGGACCTCTATTCCTCCATTGTCCTGGTGCTTGAACTTTCTCTGTTACCTTATAGAAATTTTAAGATACAAAAGGAGCAGCAAAGAGTCATTTGCCTGCTGTCTATGACCTCACTTTTTCTGTCCTTTTCGTACTTAGTCTGCAGGTACTGCGGCATAAAGCCGTAATTCTCAACAAGGTGGTGAAATGCTAGAGGCAGTAAGATTTTATCTGTACGAGGAGCAGAGTCAGCTACTAGAGCATGCAATGGAACATGTGCTGTTCAAACCAGAGGCCTAGTTCCTATTATATACCGTGGTCTGGCAACAAAGTATTATAAAGTAATGTTACAGAAGTATGCACAGGATTGCAATTAGACTCAAGGAACCAATTAAACAGTGACACCAAACCTAGTGATGTCACTGCTGCTGCTATGATCTGAATAGTCTGAAAAAGCTAAACAGAACATTTTAAATCCCTATTCTTTTATTGAAGTTAAATGTAAATGAAGACGCACTAGAGTAAATGATCAGAATATTTTCTCACGACGCCCAACTGGGACCCAGCACGAATTGCTCCCTTTGTCCCACGTACGAGAGGGAAACCAGGAGCCAACACCTGAACTGTCACCAAAAGAGACTTACATGTCCAAGTACCTCAGATTTGCAATTACCTTACGGTTCTGATCTAGGTTTTGTTAAGTTTTTGTTATAATCACCAGCCGTTACTTTCTTGCAGTGTAAGCACACACCACCCAACTGAACACAAGTACACCAGACACACCTGCCCATCAATGGCAGCTCCACTAAGTCTTGGGAGATTGAAGCACTCCTCACCAACACAATCACCAACAACTGAAACTCCCCGCCCCATGGCTCCCTTTGGTTAGGGGTCGTACACACATCACTCCGACACGCACTTGTCTCCCCCCATATGACCAATCATGCCCCACACCACGACCCGTAGCCATCACATACCTGGGGAAGCACACATAGGGACCCAGCACACACGGCAACACTTCATGGAGAAAGCATACCAGTACTAAAAGGCACAGTGGGGACCCATTTAATAAAAGTCCCTTCCCCCCACCCCATCCCGGCTTGTATATGCAGGACTGGAGAGACAGCCACCAGGAGGACCCTCACACACATGCTGCCCAACCAACACTACCACCTATATAATGACGTAGCAATCTACATACTTAAAATGGAGTACAGTAACTAGTGTTTTTTATCTATTCTTGTAATTTCTGTTCTCCCTTGTACCAAGACGGACGTTACGTTGCCACCACTGGTAGCCTAACCAGCATTGTTATCTCACGTAAAACATAAAAAGAGGCTGATCTACACTAAAGTGCACATACCTTGCATGCCTTGTCCACTATATGTTTACTTGCTCTCACGTGTTTAACAATCTGTATTGTTTTATCACATGCCTCAATAAAACAAAGAATGACAAAAAAAATAAAATAGATATCTAGATAGGGTAGTTTTAAGGCATTAATCTTGTAACTTTATGGAAGAGGGGGAATGGAGATTATAGTGTGTGCTTAGTCATTAAATTCAGCCATTTAAAATAAATATATTTGTAGACACAGAACATTGTTAAAAATGGCAGTAAAACTTTTTCTTTCTGGCTACAAACTGCACTTTTTGAGCTTACCAGGAACAGACTATTAAATGAAAATAGTTTTAGTATTGTAAAAAGAAACCCGCTATAAAAAGGAATAGACGTATTTTAAATATAAATGTCGATTTATCTGGATAAAAAAAAAATGGTGAACCTTGAATTGCATAATTCAGGCTAAAACAGCCTAGTTATGATTGTCAAAGTTTTTGGCCTAAATGTTGAGGTGTAGGGTCCAGTTCATGGTGTGAGTTCATGGTGTGAGAGGGCAGGGTGTGAGAGTGACAGTGGGGGCAGGATGTGAGGGTGACAGTGACACAGGGACAGTGGCGGGCAGGGTGTGAGGGTGACAGTGGGGGCAGGCTGTGAGGGTGACAGTGGGGGGCAGTGTGTGTTGGTGACAGTGGCGGGCAGGGTATGAGGGTGACACTGAGAGCCCCCTCTGCTGCATATCTATACCGCCACTGTTAAAGTGCTGCCTGAGGCCATTGCCCCAGTTCTTCCTATGGACGAGCCGGCCCTGCTCAGCAGTATTTCCACATTGAATATGGTGTTGGTGGAAACTAGAATACTAATAATGGCAGACACAACATGTTTATATAATAAGAGTTATCATTAGTATTTACCTTGTGTTTCCTTCATTTTAAATGGAGACATTTTTGTGTCACTGTTCTGAAACTGTATTTGTTACTAATTAATCATTATAGCACTTTAGCTGATCAGCTATTTTATCTGGGTTATAAATATTGGATTAAATCTCAGTTTTTGTCCTTAACATATTTTTAATGGGATGCTGCTTATATAACAGAGAAGCAATTGTTGCTTTTATCTTTGTTATACATTTTTTAATAGTTACTTAACTTGCATTCTCTGCACAAGCTCCATGTGAGTTGTTGAAGTTACATTCTGAGGATGAAGATGTGACTGAAACTTAAAGGGACACTTCACTGTCCATAAAAATCACTCTTTAGTAGATATACCTCAACTGAAAACTTGCATGTCTTAAATTATGTTTTTTCCCATTTGGGGTAACTCTAAAAAGAGCTTGCAAAACCTGCAGTTCTCTTGTCTGATGCCTTTGCAAACCCTCCCCTTCTAGCCCTGCCCAGACTTTCTGTGGCTGTCCATTCACAAATCTCCCAATGCAGCTCAATGCCTCTTGAGTTTAGCTCCACTGAGCTAACAAAACTAGGAAGTAATGAGGCCTATTGTCTGCTTGAAGCCAAGGGGGTGTAACCAGGTTAATTGATAAAAGTGTAAATTTTGATTGAAATCTGCACTTTTTGCAACATGAAAAAAGCGGACACAGGCTTCAGACATAAAGCTTTAAAGCAGGCAAAAGTACTTTAGAAGTCTGGGGTGAACCTTTAATGCTTTCATTGTGAATAATGTCTCCTATTTATGCCAGAAATGCCAAGCTGTAAAAGTATTTGCTAACTCAATGTCATAAACGCAATGACACAAAGAAGTGTCATTCAGGAGGCTAACTGCTTTTTTGGTTCTAGTGTAGGCTATATATGATGTCTATGTCTTAAAGGGACATTCCTTGAACCTTTTTGCAGAACTTAACTTGCAAGGAGGTCCATGGAAGCTGACATGCCATGCAAAGGTAATCATTGGCCTTCACTTCTTTACAACAAACACACCGTTTTCTGTTTTTAAATCAACCTAACATATGAGTCAATTGTTAAATATCAATAAATTATTTTTTAAAATACCAAATGGCAAACTCTAATTTAGCTACTGAAATGTGCACGTAACGTTAAGGTGACAGGTGTCCTTTAAGGCTGATTACCCAGAGCCCTTGAGGGATGTTAATCAGAGTCTTTTGAAAAGTGACGGAGAAATTCTGTTGTGATATTGATCATATTTATTAAAGTGATGTAAATGGGAAAACGAAAGAGTGGCAGAAGAATTGATAAGTTTGTTGTATTAGCGAACAAAATGTCAGATATTCAAAAATGTTAGGGAGCAACAAAGCAAAATGTGGAAAAAAAGCCTAAAGATTTAATAAGTTGCGCCAAAAATTCATCAAAAAATTGATGGAAAACTGTTGGTAACACTTTGATAAATCTCCCTCTTTATATTTATATTGTTTTGTCTTGCAATGAAGGGAACAATCATGTTTCCCCCTTGCCAAAATTGTAATATCCAATATACAAGGATGTTCAGGTATTTAGTGATTTTTATTTGATTGTTGGCCTGCTTCATTATGTTTAAGAACCATCATCAGAATATATAATTTCTTTGTGGCCTCACAGGTATTGGTAATAAATTATATATCATATGCAATTAGAGGCTTGCAAATGCATATCTGACGGAGCTAAATAAATAGCAGCAATCCATAAAACAAATTTTAATTCACAGAGCTGACATACAAAATCCAATTAAAGATTTTTAAATGACCTATTTAATGCATGAAATATAGTTACGAGAATCTATAAACAGCTTATAGAATTATAGACATAATAAACTGACCAATTAGAAACTAACAACACATGGGGGAAATCAGAATTATAAATATAGATGCTATTTATTCAAAATGTTACCTTCTTACTATTTTATAACAAAGCCTGCTTTTTAATGTTTTGCATATGTGAACAATCTCACACCTTTCCACAAGGATGCTTTCAATGTCTTTAGAGAGACTGTCTCTTCATGGAAGATGAAATGAGGTGGCAGTAAATAATGAAAAACAGAACAGAACTACTTTTTTAGCTCAGGATAGTGAGATGGTACCTGGAATCGTACATCCTTTCACAGAAACAAACTGTGTGTGAAGTACTGTATTATTACCATTTTTATTTTAAATTTAAAAAAAAATAAAAAATCTTTCTTTGAAAAGAGGAAAAAAAAAATCTTTAAATTCTTCGCTATCTGCCTGAAAAGTTTTTACTGGTGAGAGGTAAACTTTCTAAAAAATTGGGTCTTGTCAGATGATTTGCTCACATGCAACTATATAACCTCCCTAAAAATACTTTATTCTAACTGGTTGCTGTGCCTGTGTATGGATTTCACAGCAGTTTTTCTATGTCATCCTCCAGCATCAAGTGCCACATAACGCAGTTTTTTATCATCGTGAAGCAAAGTTGAATTTCAAATTCCACAAGTTAGACTTGACAAAGGCGCAGGACACTGCCAAAACATTGTCTTTTCTTCTGAACTCCAAATAAAAGACTGCTCGTTAATAAGAAAACATTCAGTATTCCCAAACGTATGTATTTGTTCCAGTTGGATTGATTAGGAGTTTGACCTCCTGGCTTGGAGCACCCCAATCGATCCAACTGGAAAAAATGCATAGGTCTGGGCACACCCCACTTGTCACTGTGTACCTCTTTCACTGTGTGAGCAACAGCTAACGTTAGTTTTAAAGAATAGGGGGAAGGCAGATCCTGTCTTTGAAGATAACAATGAATAATTGAAGAGCCTCGGGGCCCCTTTATCACTGAATAATAAAGTGATACAAGAAGGGATTTCAGTGGAGTAAAAATAAAAGACATTGACTTCCATAAAAAGCTAAAGCAATATACTTTATTTTTAATTTTTTGACCTAATGGTGTAGAGATATGGGCTTTATTCACTAAAGAGTGAGTTACGATGAGCTGATATAAAATAAAATCAAAATATTGGCTAAATTAACCGTGCTGCAAACGTTCTTTTAAGTCTGATGTGAACTCCCACACTCACTGTATAATGGATAGACATTTACGATGAGAAATATGTAGCCATTTTCCTCCAATAATACTGTGGTTGTGTAATTAGTCAATTTATTTGCTTTCAGCTGGCTCTTGGCGAATGCATAATGCTACGCATCCTTGATCTCTGATCCAGGAATATCTATTCAAAACAAGAACAGAATTACATGTTTTCAGTGTTTACACAGAAAATACCAACTCACGATTTCTATTATTATGTAATATAAAGATATTTACAGATATACTAGCATTTTCACTATTACAAAATTCATGGCCATTGTAACTACAGGTATTTAACTACATGGTTATATGAAACATTTATAGTAATGCTTTTATTTACTAAACAATGAGAGAAGATGGCAGATTCCTAAGCAATTTGAGGCCTGAACCCATAACAAAGTGGCACATTGGAGGAGAAGGCTAACAATTTAGAATGTCCACGTTTATGGACTGCAAGTATGTATAGAGACTGCCAACTGTGATTAGAGTTCGGTACATAGATGACAACATTATACCCCCTCAACAGACTACCATAGGGATTCCCAAACACTTCGGCACTAATTCGAAATGGTTAAGACCATGCCAAAGTGGCAGATTTCATGAAAAAGCATAACTGCATTAAAAAAAACACTCTCATACCTAAGCAAATGTCAGTGTTTGTGAAAGACATTGTGTGTGGTTGGAGTTGGATGTGTAAGGGATTTAATTTCAGTGTGTGGTGGGAGGGGTGTGTAAGAGACACCAATGTGTGGTGGTTATGTAAGTGCATAAGGGATGCTATTGTGTGAAAGGAATTATGTGTCCAAGTACCATATTCCCCACCCCCCTCCAAATATGCACGTAGCAACATTGGGATGCACAAACACCATTTTTAAAACTGAATGGTACTAAATCAGTTTTCCATTATGTAAATTTTTCAAATCAAACTTCAACAAAATAAACCAGTCAATAATGAAATACTTACAAAGAATGCTCTTCAATGAGAAGACTCTCTCCAGCATTGAGCCTTACAGTTTCACCATCCAACATAACACCTGAAGTGCCTTCCTACGACAATTGTGACAATAACAAATTTTAACTTATAACCAACCAATATGTAATGTACACATTATTGTTTAATATGATGAAAGACTAGATGTGTACACAGTTTATGTTTGCAATTGATATCTCTGTTGAATATTATAAAGCCTTATTTACATTTCATAAATACAAACTATTTAAAATATAATACCATATATTTATATATACAATAATACAAGCTTGATGATCTCAGCTATAGAGGCAGGGCCAAACGAGGGGAGACCAGCACGGCGTGAAAAAAAAAAAAAAGGTGACTAAAAACACTATTCCTTTGCCAACGGAAGGGGTCTGGTAACCTAATCACACACACACCATGACAGACAGACACAAACACCATGACATACACACATACCATGACAGACACACTCACACACCTTGGCAGACATGCACACCATGACACAGACAGACACACAAAAAAGTATTTACTTCTAAAGGGATAGATATGATTAGATACACTGTTATAAAAGGTGTAAAGCAGGGGCAGAAATCCCAGTGGTGCAGCCACCCCAGGCCCTTCAGATTTTGGGGGTGCTTTAGGCTCCATGACCAGGGTATGATGTTAATATATTCTTACCATGGTCAGAATCATTAAACTTAGGGAGAGAGATGCAGCAGATGCAATGAAAGTACTGAGGAGAAGCAGTAGGGGAGTCAGGAGGAACAATAGGATGGCACCTTGAGCAGAATATGTCTGATACTGGTGCAGATCCAGAGCCTAATATCGTGAGGGCCACAGGTAGAGGGTTATAGTGGGGTGATAGGGACTCTAGTAGGGGGCTAGGAGCTGTAGTGGGGGACATGGGTTGTAGTTGGGGGTTAGAAAGTGTAGTGGGGGATAGGGAATGTAGTAGAGAGGGATGGGAATGTAGTAGGTGTATGGCAGCATTTTGGGAAAGGGGCTGTAGTGTGGGGTATATGGGCTGCAATTGGGGAGAGTGGCTGCAGTGGGGAGAATATGGACTTAATGGGGTATAGGACTGTAGTAAAAGATTATTGGCAGTCGTAGGGTTATGGGTGCAAAAGAGGGGTTAGGGCTGCAAGTGGGGGGATAGAGGCTGCAAGTGGAGGGATAGGAGCTGTAGTGGGGAGGATAAGGGGTGCATTTGGGGGTAAGGAATGTAGCTTGGGATAGGGGCTGCAATAGGGGTATGTGACTTTAGTAGGGTGGTTGAAGGCTGTAATGAGGATAGGGGCTACTGCTTGATAATAAGGCTGTAATAGGGGGTATAGTGCCTGTAGTAGGGCATTGTGGCTGTAGTATGGAGTTAAAGGCTGCTATAGGGTGTAGGGGTTGCAATTAGGGGGATAAGGGCTGTAGTAAGGGCATTAGGGCTGTGGGATAAGGGACTGCTGTAGCAGGGAGATAGGGGCTGCAATTGAGGGGGAAAGGACTGTAGTGGGGTATAAAGGCTGCAATTGGGGGATAGGACTGTAATGGGGTATAGTGACTGCAATTGGGGGTTAATGGCATTCTCTCCCCCCTTCCCCTATCCATGTCTTCAACCCTTCCATCCCTGCCTCTTCCCCCTTCCATGTCTCTTCTACCCTCTCCATTCCTCTCTCTTCCTCCCTTCTATCAATGTAGTGTTGGCGGCTTTGCTCAGACACAGGTAAAACAAAAGGGTGGGCTGTTCTTTTTAATCTGGTACCCACAGCGCGCTGTTGGACTGAGCGCCAGGTAACCACGTGGCACTCTATAATAAATGCCAAATAAATTCATTCATAATATATCCATTACAGGAAAAACCTGGCTAACACACTTCATGAACTTACCAGCTGCCAAATCCAGACATCAGTCTTTGTAATGCTTGGTTTGCTTTCCCCTGACCCATAAATAGTAACCTGAAAGAAATAATAGATACTTAAAATAGGACCAACATGTTTACATGTTGTAAAGGTATCCACTCTTATACAAGGATATGATTACATGCCTTTCACCATTAGAATGTTTGGTTTTAGGACAGGACCCAGAGAGGAGTCTGCTGGTGATGCAAATGAAAACATATATCCCTCACTGTAGAAAGAGTAAAAGACTCCTATACACAGACAGCCTATGCCGAATTGCTGGAAGTACTCACTATTTTAGCAACCAACGCAGTTTACTCAAATGTTGCAAATTTTATGTTTAAAAGATGGATACTGTTCTCACACTTTCAAGAGGTAGAGATTAAACATAACAGTAATTATACAGCTGTATGTTATGATATGATATATG